ACATACATACATACATACACACACACATACACACACACACACACATACATCCATTTTTTCTAAGGTATGCCAAAATGTTCAGAAACCTCTGAAACGTAAAGATATATAAAAATTTTCATTTTCGATTTTTTTGCGATTACTATAACTTACCCTACGGGAAGTTAATAATTACACTACAAAAGTAAAATGGTAAAAAATATGCCAAAAGTGTTTTGAATTTAATTATTTATGATTAGCGCGAAAAGTACTGATTATAAATCTAAACTCATTCTCGACATTGAAACACTTATCTCAGAGTACAAAGCAAATTTATTACACATAACAGTATGTTCACTTGTCGTTATTTATATATATTTGTACATATTTATAGTTATTCTTGTATCTCAATAAATCATAGAGCAGTGACGAATTTTCACACGATCTAGAACAGAGTTTTTCAAAGTTTTGGATACTACATACTTGGAAGAAGTTTAATATCTCAATTTCAAATACTCAGCTAATAGATAAATGTAGAAGTGTTGTAGAATTAAAGCGTTTTTAAAGTTTTTGAAGATTTTCTATTAATTACAAAATAATATAATATAAAAACATATCAGCTAAGATAATTTAAAAATAAAGAAGTTATATCCAAGTGTTGTAAAATGGTTGGATAAAAATGAAAATTTATTTATACATAGATTAGGTCTATTTATCTGCACTGTTATAATTCATATGCAAATTGTGACCATAGAAAAGATATACTCAAAAAATTAGAAGTCTTGAATGATAATCTTCGAGAAATATATAGCTCATTTATATAAGTTAGTACATTATATAGCATTTTCAAATAAGTCTTAGATTATAGCAAGAGCATTGACTATTATATATTATGTTCAAAATAGTTAGTGAAGAGAATTGAATAAAACTCAATGCAGAAAACAATACAACTAAAAACTTATTTCTTTTTAATAATGATAGATTAATTAGTTAGAATGAGAACATAAGTTCTTCATAATCGTACACAAATCACTTAATATAATTAAGGGACTCCCTTTAATATGCATTTTGCTTAAAATATTAGAGAACTTTACTATACATCGTTTTGAAAACAAGAATGTAAAATAATTTTATTTTATATAAAAATCAAAATTTTTAAATCAAAATTAGTTCAATACGCGACGATTTTTGAAATTAGTGTCAAATTACAAATAAATTGTAAAATGTATATTTATAATTAATAATTAATTGTTGATTATATAAAAATATGGAAGAATACTTCAACATATTTAGACGCCGAAATACTAGACATAAACTATGTGTCTGCTCAAGTTCCGTCGGTATTTATTTTATTGTTGAATCAGCATTAACATTGAAAAATAATTCATCTTGTTTCTAATCCAAGAATTGTCCATATTGCTCGAATTTATCTTGACGATAAGAAACAGATAACAAATATTAAGCAAAATGTTTAAGAAGGTCAGGTACGAATTAGTTCAAAGTTTATTAAGAAATGGTTGAGGGTCTTCAAGTGTAACACTCGAGTTTCCATTATACTTGTATTGAACTATAATAATAAATCATTTTGCTAACTGATATAATTAAAAGAGCTTATGGGTACAAGTTGAATTGAAAGGGCTTATTGAAAATATCACTACATCATAAGCCTTTAATTTAGTCCATATGTGCAAACTCATTCAACTATGAAGATGCTGCTGTAAATCAAATTTGAACATTGTGAACTAATTACACATAACACTGTTACTAATTCGGCTTATTACAAAAAGACTTATTAATTAAGATTTTTTAGGTTTTAATTTTTTTACTTTGAGTATTTATTTTGTAATACCTTTGAGACTTGGGCTCAGCAGTGGCGTAAACAGTTCTAAAGCAGGCTAGTACAAACTACTCCCGAGTTTTCTGATTCGTTTCCTGCTACCATCAAAGCTCAACACCAGGCAGCATTGATGTCAAATTTATCACTTGAAGTTATAGATCTCAAATATAGCCTCAAGTGAAAATTGCCTCTCGTGGGTATGGTTGCATAAATATAATAAAACTGTTAACAAATACTTCGAGTAAAGATAGTCACAACTGGATTGGACAACCACTGGGTTCATAGTCCATCTATTAAAAAAATCCATATAATAAAGTCAAAACAATTAGTAAATGTCTCAGTATGACAGATTGTAATTTGAAATATTATAAAAACTTTGAGGCTTATAGAACGTATATTAATATTGATTAAAAAAAATAGATTGTGGACTGAAGAAAAAAGTATGTTGTGAGCTGCGGCAGATCACTTGGTCATTTTCTCTTTAGTCGCCTTAATTTTTCAGTTGAGTGTACTAACTGTGTATCAGGATTTGCAAGTCCATCCAATATATCTTGGAAAATTGAGCTTCTGCTTTTAATTACCTCAACCACTGTGGGCATTTTTAAGTCCTTGTGTATGATATTGTTGATCATAAACCATGAAGCGTTCCTGATCATTCTTAGAATCTAGTTTTGAGTTTGGAACTTTCCGAATTATAAGAATTTTGATATTGCTGGCACAACCCCACAGCTCAATCCCATATGTCCATATTGGATCATCACTTTATATAGTAGAAACTTATTTTCGAATGAGTTAGGATTATCTGCCTTTTCAGTTCTTTCATCTTAAGATCTATTTGCTTTGCTTTTATTGTGCATGATGTGCATTTTCCAGTTGAGTTTTCTATCAATGGTCATACCTAGACATTTTACAGATTCTTGATTTGGAATAACTGCATTATTCAAGTATAATGCAGAAGTTGAGTGATTTCTTAATGAGATGATAAGATGTTGTGATTGTGATTTATCGACATTGTGATGATAAGATGTTGTGATGTGATTGTGATTTATCCACATTGGTTTTGATGTTTGATTATTTTATTAACAACATTTAAAAGTAGAGGGCAAATGATGGGTGTACATCTGGGCAAATGATTGATTAATAATTATTAACTATTGACTAACTTTCCGTAGGGTAAGTTATAGTAATCACAAACAAATCGAAAATGAAAATTTTTACAGATCGTTACGTTTCAAAGGTTTCTGAACATTTTGGCATACCTTAGATAAAATAGATGTATGTGAGTGTGTGATCGGATACAAATTTTTGTCGACTATTTTGGGAACACGGATCAACCGATCGGAATATTTTGAAAAACATTTGATTTGCGTTGACGGGGAGACGTGTTGATTAGTTTTTGGCAAAGGCAGGTCCAGCTGTTCGAAGATACGGCGGAAAAAGTGCCAAAATGGTAATTCAGTTTTTGTGATAACGGGGCGTCCAATTTGAATGAATCGGAAAACGTTTTAGTTATATTGTCAAAATGAAGAATTGATCAAATTTCTGAGAAGGCAGGTCTAGCGTTGTAGAACCAATAACAAAAACAATGAAAAATAACATTTGGCGGTCAAAAATGATCATTAGACATATGCTCAACAAATTATCAGATATTTTATAGAGATTTTAATAAATACAAATATTGTTTATATTTCTATGGGTTCCGTACCAATGTTTATCCGTTAAACTGCGACACGGCGCTTACGCGCTTCGATTATTTGTCTCTAAAACAGTGAAGCAGCGTTAATGATTTGAAAAAAAATCTAAATTAAAAAAAAAATGAAACATAAAAAAAAGTGCGCGTAAGGTTCACATGTTATTGAAGTAAAACTTATTTGCTACTGTACAAGATGGCCTTCAAGTAAAAATAAATACATCATATAACAATTTTGAATAATGTTTATTAGTGATATGGTAACACTCGTGATGCACATATTTATTAGTGTCAGCCATTATACACATTTAAATAATGATAAATTATAAATTATATATTTATAATAGCTTTAAAAATATGTATAATATTTAAAAATATTAATGTAATTAAAGTCATATTTCAAATATGACATGATCGGTTTGTCATTGTAATTAGCATTTAGATATGAACCTTTATTAGAGAAATGAAGTAATTGCTGGTTAATAAATTCTATAATATTTGTTCACACAGTAGATTATGTTAAACAACGCCTAAACAAATATTATTTTCTCCACTTCACTCATCATGTAATTGTGTTTGAAGAACTTCATGTAATTAAAATTAACATAAATTTATTGACTGCTTGTATTTTCTTTTTACTTTTTCGCTGGAGATATAATCTCATTCTTTAAAAAGCTGTAATATCTGTCTTGCCTAAAATTCCATTTTAATAACTTCAAAGATTTATATAAATCTACGAATAATATAGAAATAATTTATAATCAATAAACTTACTTGTTTTATTATTTGCAAGAAACAGGGTAAAATATTCTTCTGAATTAGACTTTTTTCATTAAATCAAGATTTGTACTACGATGTAACTTTAAAATGTTTATTTATCTATGCCGATTTCCTCGCTGATATCGATACGTATACAACGTTGATATCGATACGTATACAATGTTGATGCCGTTACGCATACAACAACAGATCTCTATTCACATACGCGAAGACTAATCGCAATCGACACGTATAGAAATGATATCATCGAGAACGAATGACGAATCATTGGCACTCGATTTTGCCGTAACGCACTTCCGTTGCATTTGTACTGACTAGTCGCGCATAAAGAAGTTTTACTTCAAAATTTAAAGCTTTTAAAAATTTTAAATTACGCTACGCGAAGTTCCAGCAATTTGCTTTTAGACATACTGCCATGTACTATAAGTTTAATATAAATATAGAAAAAATATCTATAAAACAGGAATATGAATTTCCCAAATAAAAAATAAAATATGAAAACAAATATTATTCTCTGCTTTTTCTTAAAACTGTATCCAAGTCTAATAGTTTTAATTCAAAGTTTGAGAATCGTTGTTTTATAGAATAACCATATGTATCTCTCCGCACACTAATATTGTGCAAGATCCCCCAAAGATTCACACACATGCGTTCGGCAACGCGAGGCGATAGAAGTCACTTCAGAAAAGTCATCATTTTAGTTTTCAATGTAACGCGTGAGTAGTGAGTCGGAAAAAACCTATAATCCGCAATTTATTTCCTTTCGTTACCAAATACCTAAAATAAGTATTTTTAGTTGAAATAAATCAAGTGTTAATACTTAATTATTGTTAAAATCGAGCGTTTTAAAAAGTTGTTAATCAGTGTCTATTTTTAAAACAGTGTTTTAGTTAGTGTTACACAAAATGTCAAAAATGGGATCGCCGTATTCGCAGACTTATAAATTAGTCGTCGTGGGCGGAGGAGGCGTCGGAAAATCTGCAATAACTATTCAGTTTATACAAGTAATAATTTGATTATTTATATTTAATTATTTTAAATTTCAATTACGATTGAATAAATATTTTAAACTGTATTTTTTAAAAAGACGCGGTTCGCGCGCTGCTGTCACTTTCCCACATAACCTCACTTTTGTTCGAGGTTAGCGCATGAAAAAATTTGACAGATGGTTCGAAAATGATTAAATAAAGACGTATTTAAGATTAATTTGTTATAGATTTCTTACGTTTAATAATTACTCACAAATAAACTACGTTTTTTAAATGTTTTTAGTAATTTTTAATCAAGTATTATTTATAGATTGTGATTATTTTTGCCCTGTTTGATTCATGTAAATGTAGGTTGGGCGTATTACAACATGTTGATGTGTTTTTTTTCAATCATTCTATTAATATCGCGAAATGGAAAATTAAAAAACTGTTGGGTGTAATTTGAATAAAATGAAATAAAGCTAATTGTAAGAAAGATTTCTGCTATAATAAATAGATTAGAACTAGTGGGGCGCATGGCATCGTGCCTTAAGGCAATTTGCTGGAACTTCCCAAACCAAAAATTATTTATTTTAAAAAGATTAACATTTTTGAAAAAAAATTACTCTCTGAACTTTTTTTCAAAGCAATCGTACTGCTTTAAAAGCATAGAAACAAAATATAAAAGCGCGTACGCGCCGCGCCGCCATCTAACCGATAAACATTGGTACGGAACCTATAGGAATGTAAACAAAATTCATACTCATTGTGAAAATCTCTATAAAATATCAAATAATTTGTGTGCATATGTCTAATGATCATTTTTGACTGCCAAATGGCTTTTTGTTTTACTTTTTTCATTAGATCTCCGCAACCGCTAGACCTGCCTTCATGAAAATTTGATCAATTCTTCATCTTGTCAATACAAGTAAAATGTTTTTTATAAAATTATTTTTAATAAAATTTTTGTAAAATTATTAAAATCGGACACTACGTTCTCTTAAAAACTGAGTTACCGTTTGTGGCACTTTTTCCCCCGTTTCTCCGTAACGGCTGGACTTGCCTTTGCCAAAAACTAATCAGCACATCTTCCTATCAATAGGAATCGAATGCGTTTTGAATTATTCAAATCGGTCGATCCGTGCGCCCGAAAACGTGGACGAAATTATGCGGACATACATAACACACACACAGACATACACACATCCATTTTTTCTGAGGTGGATCAAAATGTTCAGAAACCTTGAAAAGTTGAAGATAAGCGAAAATTTTCATTTTCGATTTTCAGCCCATTACTATAACTACCCTACGGGAAGATAAAGTAAAGCTAAGAAAAGTTTCTGTTATAATAATAGATTAGAATAATGATTAATCAAAGGTCAAGGGCTTGAAATAGTATTTTTTTATCATTCATAATTCATGAATTATTTATGAATAAATAGAGTAGATCGTGGCTTTAAAGTCCACCACCAATATCTCAAAAACAAGTAAAGTTAAGATTTTTTTTAACAAAAATATTTGAAAGTAGAGGGCAAAAGATCTATATTCACCTTGATTCTACATATGTGTTGCTCTCTACTTTTAAATATGGTTACGAGGTTGCTATCGGGAGATGAATGGCAATGCTTGAAAATCTATAACAAAAGTATTTTCGTTCGTTGTTATTTTTCTTTCTGTATGAGCACTGTCGTTTAGTTTACGAGACCTTAATATAATTTGTAAGTATACGTTATTTAATTGTTTTATAAGAAGTATTGTTATTTTCAAGTTTCAACCGCTTTTTACATGATCTCTATAAAAGCCTACATCTGGGTGAGGGTAAAAAAGAACAACTAAACCTTTACCCTGGAAAATAAAAAATAGCAAATAAAAATAAATTAAGTTAAAAAAACAAGTTTACAAAAGTTAAATTAAATAAATAGTTATTCCAACCCTGCTGATGAATATTTGTGAAAAAGTACCAGATATAGGTTATTAACAGTGTTATCTCTGTAAAAAATGTATCCATGAAATTTACATTTTGTACTGGATGAATAATGCTGCTATTACTTTGTAATATCTCTTTAAAAATAAAAATGATACATTGGGTCTGTTTGCCCTCTGCCTAGTCTATTTGTCCCGATCATGGTGTAAGAAGGGTCATATGACAAATTTTAGAACTAATTGAGAGTGATATTTTGCCTTAAGGCTAGTTGCAAAACCTATCGGATAGGTATAATAATTGACTTAATCAATCGAAATTGAAATTTAGATATTTAGATAAAAATTTCAACTGTTGATTTTGAAAATAAAGTTTTCGCTTTCACTAAAATCTAAATATTGTGATTTCCAATTGATATCTCTCAAATACATTTTAATATCTCTAAATAAAATTACAGCCTATTATTCCAAATTTTAATTAATTTATATAATTTATTCAATTTTCGTAGGTCTGTTCAGTGAGTGAACTTTATCGCCATTTTAAATTTCATTAAATACGTCGAAATATTTCTTTACGGAATCTAATAAAGTATTTTGTGAAATATTAAACATCTGCAATAAGAAAATATTAACATAATTACATACATCATGTACGTAGTCCTTGATATCATTTAATCAATTACATTAATGGTAACATTTTTTAAACAACTAGAGAAGTTTTGTAAACTGCTCGTTAGGTGACACAGATATAAAGAATCTACTTAGATAATTTTTAAATGATTTTTGTGAAGAATGCACAAGTCCATAAAGAGATGACAAGATTTTTACAAAAATGGTTCCAAAAATACGTGTGGCAAGGATTAAATTTGTGAAATCAGTTTTGCCGTTTTTGGGAAAACGTTGAAGAACTTCAAAATCTGTCTCATCACGTCACAAAAGCGACTTTTGACACAAATTACACTACCATATTTTTTAAAACTGATGAATTTTTAAAATTAATATATTTTAGTATGTTCTTCAGGACCAAAATATCTATCTACATAAAAAGTTTCATCCAAATCGTCAAAAAGACATTTTGCAACTGTCAATTACGAAAAAAATGGCCGGGCCCACCAATATCATTTCCCCACCAATATCTTTCGAACAGTTTTTGAATTTGTCAAATCAATTTAGGATACAAAACGTGACCGAAATATTTTTAACTTTTTTCCTAATTACAAAGACGAAACGGCTTGGCCGATCATTGAGTAAAACTAATCAACGCAAGTTGTTATTGAGATACTTTAATGGCTTTTAAATTTTTGAAATCGGTTCAGCTGTTTATCAGAAAAAATGGGCGAAAGTTTGATAATCGGCTCATCATACACACATATTGCTTCCAAATTTGGTCTCAATTGCTTTAGAATGACTTGAAACGTCGAGAAAGCAATTATAATTACCAAATCAGATTTTTTGGCGAAAACAAACTTCTCCTTCGGGAAGTTAATATAAATATATTAGAAATCTTTCACTGTGAGTTCTATATTAAATTCAAGTTTGCTTAATTAGGTAGAAATCTTTTAGGGGTAATATGAATTAATCAAAATAAAACTAAGAAAAATTGCCTTTTATAACTGATAGATTAAAATTAATTATGAGAATAATAAAAAAATATGTCAAAAGCTTGAAAAAGTATTTTTTTCTTTTTGATTATGAAGCACTATATAAAAAAATATTAGAGTGTGTTCTATATTAAATTCAAGTTTGTTTAAATTATTATTATTAATGATAAATATAAATTTTAACAATCATAAAACAAATTAAATTAATTAAATCTTTTCGTAGTATAATTTTTTTTTAATTACTATATTTGTTACAACTAATTAACATTTAGTAACAGTAATGAACAATTATCGTAGTATAATATGAATTAAACGAAATAAAACTAAAAAAATGACAATATTATAAATAGATTAATTAATGGTTATTCCGAAATATGTCAAGGACTTGAAATAGAATTTTTATTATTGATCATGATTCATGGAGCATTTATAAATAAATGTTCGATTATAATTAGAATTCGTTGCTGTGATTTCTATATTAAATTAAAGATTGTGTAAATTAATTAACAAAACATAGTTGTCAGCAATTCTTGCGTGAGTTAATTTGTCATGCCCTTGGCTCATAATTATAAATACCTATTTGATATAAAACTGTATGACAAAGTTTGTTCTACATATAGAAGAAAAATGCTGCCAAAAACAATTACTTACAATATATAGACAATGAACGACATTTTTACCAGTAGATACTATATAGAAACTAGTAGTGCATGGCATCGTGCCTTAAGGCAAATTACTGGAGCTTTACCTGTACCGAAAATTACCAAAGATTAATTTTTAAATTATTGCAAAAAATTGACTATTCAAAAATTAGAATCTTTTTATATTTTGAAATATTTAAGAAATTTTGAAATCCTCTTCAAAGCGATCGCGCTGCGTAGAGACGGAACATCAAAGCGCTTAAGCGCCGCGTCGCAGTCTAAAGAAAGGACGTTGGTACGGAACTCATAGAAATGTACACAAAATTTGTTATTATTAAAATCTCTATAATATAAGCCGATTGGCGTATAAATAAATAAATAAATATATGATAATTTGATGTGCATATGTCTAATGATTATTTTTGATCGCCAAATGACATTTTTTTTACTTTTTTAATTGGATCTTTTAAATCGCTAGACCTGCCTTCCCAAAAATGATATCACTTCTTCATTTCGTCAATACAAATAAAACATAAACTGAATTACCATTTTTGGTACTTTTTGTTCCGTATCTTCAAAAAGAGTGGACCTGCTTTTTCCAAAAACTAATCAGCACGTCTCCCTGTCAATACGAATCGAATGAAATTTTGAATTATTTGAAATTGTCGATGAAAATTTGTAACCGAACACACAAAAAAATCCATTCTTTCTAAGTTATACCAAAATATTCAGAAACCTGTGAAACGTAAAGATTTGTAAAAATTTTCATATTCGATTTTTTAGCGATTATCATAACGGAAGCATAATAATCAAGTTATGTTCTCATATATGCAAGTTATATTCTTAAGTTAAAAATCTTATGAATGAATTCTTT